AAATTTAAATGAATTTGCCTAAACGCTACTTCCTATACATGATTACCCTTTTTTTTTTTCCTCTAAACTGTCCACAGACAGACACCCCAGCTGCTTGCAATGACCAAATCTGTAACTGTGAGATTAGGGAAATTTTTACATACTGTTAAGGAAAGACATTCTAAATTATTTGTGGCTATTCCCCAAATATTTATTAGTGAAATATGGGGTCATAAATCACCAGCCAGATAATTCTAGTTGAATATTGGGAAGATCAGCACTGCTACAGAGATAGAATCACATATACTGAAGGTCATTTTGGAATTAGTATTTTATACAATTATAGAATAAACATAATGGTATAGAATTAGAAAACTATATATTTAACTCTATCACAAATTATTTTTCAAGGATCCCTTAACACTGTCATCTATATAACCAGAAAAAAACCCATAAATAAACAAAACAAAAAGAATCCCAAAATAAAAATAGTTTGGGCATTAAGAATACCTACAAAAATAGATTCTTATTCTGATTATATTTATTATAACTGTTCAAAATAGCTACTATAGCCATATTCACCCTCTTTACATTAAAGATTTTTTGAAGAGAGAGTCAATATTCAGTATTTACCCAATTCCAGATATTTGACAAAATACAGGGTAAATTCAGAATATTACCTTGACGGGGATTGCAGACAGATATCTTCCAGTTCTGCCTCCTGGAAACCCTTTTCAAATGCATCACAGTCTTTCAACATGTTGGAAAGTGAATTCCTAATCTCCCCACAGGGGCTCCTCCCCAGTCTTCCCAGTCTCATAGATGGTATCCTAACACATTCAATTGCTCCATTAGAAAACTGGGCCTTATCCTTGGACATAGTCCCCATCAAGATCAGTAAGTGGCATCAATTATATCTCTGAGAGATGCCTGGGTGGCTCAGTCAGTTAAGCATCTACCTTTGGCTCAGGTCATGATCCTGGGGTCTTGGGATCGAGTCCTACATAGGGCTCTTTGCTCAGCAAGGAAGCTGCTTCTCCCTCTGCCTGCAGCTCCCCTGCTTGTGCTCTTTCTCTCTCTCTCTCTGACAAATAAATAAATAAGATTTAGCTGGACTCCATCCATTTTTCTTGACCTTCTGCAAATAACCCCTAATAGATCTCTGCTCCCACTCATGCCCTTTCAATGAATTTTCTTCACAGCAACCAAATGATCTTCTGAAAATGACTATTTTGATCATCTCACTCCCATGCTGAAAATTCTGCAGTAACTTCTTGCTGCTTTATCTTGAAATAAAATAACATATCTTTAAATGTGGTCAACGAGCCTTTGGGTGATTGGGTACCACTTACCATGACAGTATCATTTCATGTCATTCACTATCCTCTCATCAAACACCAGTCACAATGGACTTCCTTATCTAGATATTTTCTACTTTAGGGCCTTCATACACACATGCTTTTACTTCTGTCTGGATGCTCTTCTCTACCCTTTATCTAGCTTACTTCTATTTTTCTTTTTCTTTCAAGGTTTAGCTTAGGTGGCACTTTCTTAAATAAGTCTTCTTTGACCCTCTATTTGATTGGCCACTTTATAATCTTTTATGCTCATTCTAGCTAGCATGTTTCCCAATACACATCATGGGTATTTTCTACATTAGGCTAATATCTCCTTGAGCAAGAACTATTTCTACTTTTACCATGAATCTCCATTGTCAGCCTCTGTGCCAGGAACATAATAAATACTTAATATTCCTTGAATCATTGAAGGACTAAATTGATGAAGACATCCAGTTAGCTCTGTATTGCACGCGCATAATCGAGGTTAGTTAGCCCAGTTGGCTAGAGAGTTGATGGACTATAGAGAATGCCCACATCCTCAACAAAGGGTCCATAAGGACCTGTGAGCATATGCTAAAATTTTAAATATTCTGGAGCATTTTGGCTTTCCTGGTCAAGATGAATCATGACACATATTCCATCACAGAGCTGATATCATTTTGCCTTGCATTAAAGTTAGTTGACTTTATGTCTTTCTTGCCCATGAGAACTTTCTGATTCTTCCATCAGAATCACATCTGAATTATCTTTATCCCCCCGGGTGCATGACAGTTTCCACAGTAGGAGCTAAACATTGGTAGAAATTTATTTAATTTTTTAAAAGACTTTATTTATTTACTTATTTGTTTGTTTGCTTGTTTTCCAGAGAAAGAGAAAGCAAGCGAGCATAAGCAGGGGGAGCTGCAGGCAGAGGGAGAAGCACGCTCCCCGCTGAGCAAAGAGCCCTATGTGGGACTTGATTCCAGGACTCCGGGATCATGACCTGAGCTGAAGGCAGATGCTTATCTGATTGAGCCACCCAGGCATCCCAAGAAATTTATTTTAAATATCTTGCCATTCAAAATCTATGAATTAAGAGGTGCTAAGTAAAGTTAATATTGTAAGGTACCGTCATATTTAGTGCCGAATCTAATTTAATTATTCAACTTACTAATTCAGCACTTCCCATGTTTAAGGCACTGGGAAATGCATTAGGAATTTAAACAATAACTAACACCTTTTCTTTCCTTGTGTGTCAATAAACTTATGGAAAAACAAATCCCCATCAGTGACCTTTGGATGGTGACAGTATAAAAATGTATGATTGACTCAATGTAATCCCAACAGGACTAACAGGCCCACACCCCTCTTTAGGGATATGGCAGTTCCCTGCTTCCTGGGAGGTGAGGTTAAGTTCTAATAATGTCCTAGTTCTTCATGCTTCAGTAAACCAACGCTATCAGTCGTCTGCCATGTACTTTTGGGTTACTGCCAGGGTTTTCTTGTTGGATTACACTCACCTGTCCCCACTTCCCCCTTTTTATGTCCTATGGCAATTCCTGTCCTACCCTCTGCTCAAAGGAGACAACAGTTAAGACTGAAATAAACCAGTCAGACGGGACCCTGGCATCAAAGATCCCCCAAAACTGTTCCTGCTAAAATTAAGGAGTTTTGGCTATGGATTCACAAGAACCTTGAAGTGCTCTGTTGAGCAGCTAGAGGTCAGCGAGCTAGCTAGTGGCTCAGCTAGCAGGAGGCCTGCTAATAGATGCTAATGCTTTGCCCAGTGCTTCAAACTGGTATTCGCTTTAGGATGGTGCTGAATAATCACCATTAATTGAATTGTAGAAATACCTGCTTGCTATTTGTAAATAGCATGTATTTTTCATAGAAATCGTGTGATGCTCAAATTGTTTATCTTTAGATCACCTTGCAAATAGGGTTTTAGTAAATGTGAAAAGGTTAGAAAGTCTTTCCTTTCATACTACCAGACATTGTGGTATGCAAATGCTTTACTTCTTTTTTTTTTTTCTCCAGATTTAATTATGTGATTTTAATCCATTTGAATTTAGCTCACGGGGCATCTTTGTATATATTCATTACATAACCAAGCAATTGTAGCAAAGTTTGAAGCTATTTGTAGTAAAACATACTACAAATAACATGTACATACAGGTAATATTCGTTTGGGAGTCAATTAGGGCCAGCCACTGTTCTAATTAGTTTAGTGAATTGGCTCATCTAATCCTCACATTTCTAGGGGCAACTACTATTATTACCTGCATTTTTAGATGAGAAAATTAAGGCTCAGAGAGGTTAAGCAATTTGCTCAAGGTCAAACGGCTAGTATGCTGCAGAGGTAGCACTTCAGCTCTGGAGGCTACACTTTTAACCAGCAAGATTTAGTTAAATGTTTAATTTTCATAAACCCTGTGGGACAGATACTACCATTATGATCCCCATTTAATAATGAGGGGATTGGTCCAACCACTATCACTCTGCTGGTAAGTGGCTGAATCAAGCTTTTAAACTCAGTCCTGTCTGACTCCTGGGTCTGAGATCTTAAATATCAGCCACTACAGACTTCTAGAGAAGGCAGTGTACTTACTTCCTTTTTAATCCCATCTAACATTAGAGATTAAGTAGATTTTAAGGGAAAGAGAAATGATTTACTCAAATAATACAGTAACTATCTGGTCATAATCTTCTAAAAATATTTGAAAAACTGTTAAGCCAATTATTGGATTTTTCTTAAAATATTTGAAATACTTTTAAGCTAATATTAAATGTCATCATTCTGAAGAGCACAGCCCAAATGACTGTTCTTAAAAATTAGTGTAATAATTCATCTCACTGTTCGTGTGACTCCCCAGAGTAACTGCAATTACTCAAGAGATCTGTGAGCATTTAGGGGTGCCTGGGGTGGCTCTGTGCATTACGTCTCTGCCTTTAGCTCAGGTTATGATCTCTGGGTCCTGGGATTGAGCCGCATAAAGGGCTCTCTGCTCTGCAGGGAGCCTGCTTCCCCTCCTCTCCCCGCCTGCCTCTCTGTCTACTTGTGGTCTCTCTCCCTTTGTCAAATAAATAAATAAAATCTTAAAAAAAAAAAAGAGAGAGAGATTTGCATTTAGAAAAAAATAAATAAAATTTAGAAAAAATAAATTTTTTCTATTCTTTTTTTTCTATTTTGACTATAGCAAATATAAAATATTATGTGGTACTTTTTGGGTGTAACTCATGAAAGTATTACAAATCAAAACAAATCACAACAGTATTATAAAAAAATAAAATAACTGTTATTTTGAAATAGACTAGTTTAATTATTATCATTCATATTACTGTTTTACTAGATGAGGACTCACCATTTAGATCTTAAAAATGAGAAGGAATGTATGTGCCAGCCAAGTCACAATGATACAGTAAAATTAAAAATTTATAGAAAATGCCAATGGTTTATAAAAACACTGCTTATAAGGACATTCCTATATAAATCTGTCCTTTTCTTTCTGTGAGTTCCTATTTAGAGTATTGATTTCCTTGACCTCTGTAAAACCACTACTGCACCATTTTGGATCTCTAGGTGAGGACTGAATGTCAGAAACTAAGAGAAGAGAGTACGCTGTCGGTGGATTATGGCATATCCATTTTGGCCAAATGGTTTGTCACAGGTGTCTCATTGTGAGTCATTTATGGTTTTATTACCTTTAGGTCCTTTGAACAGTTTGATCTCCACAACAGTCTCCAGAATGGGTCGTCTTCTGCGCACATACAGGCGAACGATAGACCCCGCTTCTTTGAGAGCTTCCACGGCTTTACTGTGGGAAACCTCTGACACGTCGACCTCATTCACCCGCAAGATACAATCATTGACCCTGGAAGACAGGGAAAGAAGAAAAAGTGAGGGTGGCTGGGAAGATTTCTTAAAGTATATTATCATTGTTAGTGAACCTGAAGAGGCGAGGAAGCAAAGAGTACAAGCAATTTTAAAATGTTTCTATTTGGAAGAAGCAATTCAAACGAAGGAAACCTTAAACTCCGCAGCCTTCCCAGGCTTTCCAAATGGACTTGCACTACCGGTCAGGCCCCTCTTGCACTTGGGTTCCCTGGGACAGGAAGCGTGTGGTACACGCTGTGAGTTCAGAGGACTGCACATTTTGAGGCCGCTGTCAGTTACATCATTTTTTTTTTAAAGGTTTTATTTATTTGTCAGAGAGAGAGAGAAAACACAACCAGAGGGTATGGGAGGCAGAGGGAGAAGCAGGTTCCCTGCTGAGCAGGAAGCCTGATGTGGGACTTGATCCTAGGACCCTAGGATCATGACCTGAGCCCAAGGCAGCCACTCTACTGACTGAGCCACTTACGCATCCCATATTTCAATTGTTTCTAGCTGGTCTGACTGAGGGTTATGATTGCAGTGGTTCTCAGAACTTACTATGGATTATACAGACATCACAAATGTAACCTTATAGATGAATTTTCTTAAATTTTTAATTTGCTACTTATAAAGGTAATATATGGTCATTTTAGAAAATCTGAAAAATGTAACCATGCAGAAAGAAGAAAAAATATACATGACCTAATCATCTAAAATAAATGTGTTAGCTTTCTGGTAAACTGTCTTCCCGTATTTTGTTTTGTTTTGTTTTCCCTTTCCCCCTCAAATTCATATCACAATACTACAGATTCAGATTTCACAAAATTCAAAGAAAATTTCAGGTAATCTTTGGCTTGGGTATTTACTTTGAAAACCAAGAATTATGGTAACATAATTTTTGACATTTTCTCTTCAGGAGGGATCATCTGACTTTTCTATAAAACTGTCCAGGTAATATATATTTATGTAGCCATAGACTTCAAATCTCTTTTATGTTCATGATAATTAGTAAAAACTTTAATAATAGTTAAATGTATGAAACTTGAGACTAGAAAGATTTCCTTCCTTTACTTTGAATATGCACTCTAATATTGCCCATCTCAGTTTAGTATGTTGCTCAGAGTAAGAAATAAGGGGCTACCCTTGCTTGACTTCCTCATCCCACTACCACATGTTTATCTCTACCTGCAGTCTATCCGCAATCTGTCCACATTTCTTAATCTGCACTGCTATCATCCTGGTTGACGTTAATGTCCCCTCCCACCTGGATTATTTCTACAGCCTTCTACCTACTTCCCCTGGACCCTCTCTTGTCAACGTTTAATGCATTTTCCACACAGTGGACAGGATAAAGTGAACATAATTGGTTGCTTTTTCATCTTCCATTCCCCATTTCCTTCTTCCCAATAGTGCCTGATTTGCTCAGACAATCACTCCTTACAATGAATGAAATAATAAGTCTAAGTTCAATGACCAGGCCTTCCATTTCCTAAGTTGGTAAACACTGATAATTAGCTTCTTAGCCTCTGTGTTCGCATCTATAAATAGATACAATACTAACATCAACAATAAAGACTTATGGGGAAGATTAAATGAGATAATGTACATGTAAATCTTTAGCAAGGAGTCTGGTATGCATTAAGCACCTAATAAATGGTAGCAGTGAAAAATTTTTGATTTATAATTTTAACTATTAGATCCTTTCCATAATCTTGTGAATAAGTCATTATCCACATTACAGAAATGAGAATTGTTTCAAGTGATCAAGTTCTTTGTCTAAAGCTGTCAGAAATTTGGGTAGAAATTGGATATGATCTTCCAGTCATATTATTTCCAATCATATATCCAATTGGATAGGTCTTACAATTTCCAAAGTTGGGCACTCTCCTCTTAGAGATCACATACATCTAAATGTTGCAAACAGTTTCACATACATGTACACATCAATTCAAACTTATAACATGGTAGTGAAAATATTATACAAAAAGTATAGGAAGAATTTTTCTATCATTTTTTCCCCCATAACTTCTCTATACCTGTTTGGGGAGCTTAGTTATAGACACTCTTGTCTCAATGAGAACCCTGATTAGGTTCAAGTTTCTGAATTTCTGAATTTCACATATTAAGATTCAATGATGTCATTTCATCATAACACATGCTATGGCTTTATTAGGTTTACACATACACTTCCTCTCTGAATGACCAAAGGGAAAAAAAAATGGAAAATTACCAATTAAAATAGTTTTGAAAACGTAGGCAACACGGGTGCCAGCCGCCCTGCAGCAGCTGGTCCTTTGAGAGTGGGTAATTTTGTCATCTCATGATAATGCAAACACATAGTGTTTACTGTCGCCCTATGCTCAGAATATTAATCGTATCTTAAAACACTGCTTTCCATCGAAGGGAGTGGCTGACATTTAAAAAAAAATTCTGGATGCTGTATCTAGTCGAACTGTACTAAATTTTTCCTTTTGTATACAGTGGAATCCTTAATTGTCAATTGCAGGGGTGAGGACATCACAGCCTAAATCATGTTTTTTTTCCTGAACATGTGGAGGAAATAGGCAACTTCAGCGCAGTGAAAAAAGCACTGGAATAGCCTTCAGGACACTTGGACTGGAGTCCCAGCTGCGTGACCACAGTCAAGTCACTTCATCTCTTTGAACCTCACTCCCCCATGAAAAAAGAGTAAGTGTGCCCAGAGTTTATGAGAGGAGTAAGCAGACAGGCAATGCATCTGGGTGTGTGTGTGTGGACTATAGAGTACAGTACATACGAGAGCTGTAGCTATTGATCAAAGATGAGTCAAAGATGCTGTGCTCAAGGACGAACTGGAAGGTGAACAGGATGGAAATGGAAAATTTAAGAGGGCTGGTTATGTGCCGTATCGGTTTAGCCACTTCATTTATTCACGGGCGCTTAACCCGCCCCCCCCATTTCTGAAACACTGATTCTCATTCTACAGATGACGAAATTTACTGACAAGGTCACAGTGGTGTTGAGGGCAGGGACATGATTCCAGCCTGACTTGGCCTTTTTCTAAAGCCTATGCTGATACAGAGTTCCTCAGAATGGATCATTTTAAATTAAAAAAAAAAAAAAAGAAGAAGAAGAAAGAAAGAGAGAGATGAGGGGCAGAGTTTATATATTCAAATTCTCAAATATAGAGGAAAGAATATCAAGCTGAAGTAGGGCACTCACTTGAAATAGCATCTGACTAGAGGGTCATAGTTATTTTCTTAGTTATTTAAAATTAATTTGCTTTCACTACTAGTAGATAACCTTTGTGAGTAAAGTCACCACCACATTCATTTTGAAACATATAAATATATCACTAGCTTCTGACTCAAGTAATACTATGTCCCAATAAAAAGTACAGCCTTTATCACATTCTTGATATGTATTAGAAATTCATTTATGTAAACATCTCCTCCTCCAGCCATGCAACTAAGTTGACGGTTTCATTTTCCAGTGCTTGCTGTTTCAAATATAAGTCTACAATATTCATTTTGTGAAATGGAACTATCCAAGAGATTAAAGCCTAATTTAAATCTTTTTCTTGTCTCATTGTCTTCAGAATTCTGTTTTTTTTCCTTACAGAAAATGTCTCAGAAATAAAAAGGACATTTTATCATTAACATGTCAATAGAATCACACCTAAATTTTGCATTAAACAAGTAAGTATTATGGAACATGATACAGTATCACTGAAAAGTCAAATAATACCTGACAAATTATTTGTTCCACTTTGAAGACACAATTTAAAAGAACAAGTAATATATACTCTTGCATAGGTATTAAGTATTTTCTGTTGGAAAATAAACTTTGTGATTTTCTACATTTTTTAAAGCGTTGATTCACTATAAATGAGCAGCAAATGCTGGTGTTACAACAGAAACATTCCTGTTCATTATGCATTTAAAATAACTGAAAGGAAAGATAACAAAGTTTCAGCTCTAGTTCTTTGTGGACACAGAGATTGCAGGTGTTTTAAAAAGCATATTTTTGCTTTTGGGTTTCATGCCAGGTCCTAAAATGGGCATATATCAGAGCTGAGAATCTAAGAACGTAGGCCTGGGAACCCTGGCACAGCCCCATCCACATGGAATGTTGGCCCCCCTCTAGAACTTAAGAGCAGTGTGGCTTGGGATAAATTACATGACATCCCACAGTCTCAGTTCTTCATCTGGAAACAGGGAAAAGATTGCTGCATGGATCAGATAGGATAATGTATGTGAAGTTCTCAGTATAGCGCCAGACAATGGTAAAACATTGTAGTTATGAAAAAGGGGTAAGTGATTTGCCTAAGAAAGATAAGAAGTAACTATAGAAAGAAGATACAGTAAGGAGACAAAGGAAGAGCGCTACAATCAGGATACTGAAAGGGTTTCTGACATCTTCCATGAGAAAGAGAGGAAGAAATGAGATAAATGGGGTTTGGAGGAAGAAAAATGTAGAAAGAGGGCTTTCAGTAGCTCCTATTTGATGACGAGTAATGTAATTCCCCTTTAATTTTACCCCCTGCTGCAGAGCAGGGAGACTGATATGGAACTAGATCCCAGGACCTGGGGATCATGATTCGAGTTGAAGGCAGATGCTTAACTGACTGAGTCACCCAAATGCCTAAACAACAAAAATTTCTAACAAATATAGACAGACTTTGTGATCAGTGCTTAACTGATCACATGCATTATTTCCTTTAGCTATATCCTATTTTCTTTTTAATACTTAAGTTCGTCTTGTCTTCTGGGAAGTCATCCTCACCTCAACTGGCTTGTCCCATGTCCCACTGCAAGGAAGTCAGTGGGTAATATTAATAGGGTTAGCAGATTTAGCAAATAAAAAGTTTAAAATATCAAGCTAAATTTGGCTTTCAAATAAAACACTAATAATAGGGGTGCCTGGGTGGCTTGGTCAGTTAAGCATCTGCCTTTGGTTCAGGTCATGATCCCAGGGTCCTCAGATTGAGTCCCACATCAGGCTCCTTGCTCCTTGCAG